ATCCACATAATCGGCCACATTTTTAGCAAACGCCTATGCGAGCACTTTTGTTTTAAATATTTATTTTGACGTTTTTTTAAATCCTTTCCGAGTTAAATCCATTTATAGCAAACCTGATCCGACTACTAAAGTAAAAAAAAGAAAAAAGAAAACCTAACTCTAAACTTTTCCCAAAGTTCCATTAATCTCTCTTGTTTGAACTCAGTAACTGCAACAAATATCTCCAACCTTCGTTGCTTGCTCAAACTCGAGTCGCCCCTGAAAACTCACTAGAAGATGGTACGACCACCAATGCTCTCACTATAAGCTCTCTTGACAGTCATTTCGAAGCTCTCTGGCGAAATAGACTAGCGTTGAAGTCTATTTTCTATTTTTCATGAATTTTATATATTTTACCGTATGATAAATAATAAATATATATTATAAATTTAAAAAATGCATAAGTTTGCATAATTCGATTAATCAGCGCATAGCCCGATTAATCGTTAAGCACTCCCGCGCCACGCACATAACAAAATCGTGTTCTTGACCATTGGACAAGAGGATTAACTCCAAGAACAAATCATGTCAAATCTAGTTTTCAACTATGAAATTAAAATTTGCTTCAATTACGGGAGACTAAAATAACCTAGAAGGGAGGATTAATTCCATTTGGACCTAACATGGCTCCGCCCATGACTTAGCACTACTTTTAGATCTCTAAATGTTTTTTCATCTTTAGCAGTGCTAACTATATTATATTTTGATAATATTTCATAGTACTATTGGAATTACAAGCTATACGCCGTTATCCCTCTCACTCCACTCTACCCTATAATCCACCCTTCATAGTCTCCTCTATCTTTTGTACAGCTAAGATAGACATATCAAAGCAAATGATAAGGTAAAAAGGTTAACCAATTCATAGTATATTAAACAAATTAAATTAAACATTGAAAAAGTTCATAAACAAAATTAACATTCAGAACCTTTTTGTAGGCGAAGCTGATATGAAGTGGAGAAGGATCGCCGGAGAGGAGGCAAAGCACGGTTGCTGACGAGGTCAGGAACCGGAGGAGGGGAAAATTAGAGAGAGAGTGTTTCGGATTCAAAAACCCTAATTCCATTTATTTACCCCTAAAAAGTTAACGGGTTTGGATCACGTGTCAGCTAACCGGCCGAATTTGTTCATAAGAAAATGCTCTCTCTTTGGTTGGGCCTATTCTGAGCCCATACTGTTTCGAAAATTTTTGGTTAATCCCATGTAATCCCGGAGTCTAGGGGTGGAATTGAATCGAATTTGAACGAATAGTGCAAGGTTCAAATTCGAGTTCGGTTTATATGATGCTATTCGTGTTCGTATTCGAATTCGATTCGAATAGTAATACAAATTCAAATTCGCTTCGTTTATTTATATTGATGTTCGACAAAATTTCGCGAATATTCGATTAGCATTATTCTACAACTTTGATTTTGAATTATTCCTCAAATATTCAATATGTATTCGCTAATAATTCAAATATCATAAAAAAAATTAAATATAATCAGTAACCAAAATGTAATTTTTATATTCTACCAATCAAAATACAATAAGGCAGTGTAATAAATTTTTTATACAAGCAGAACAGTTACTAAGATTGTCAAACTTTTTTGGACTTTGATATCTCCGTCACCATGCAGTTTATTTATAATGGAGGTAAAACTGAGCACTCAAAACATAATCGAATCAACGCATTGCATATTTTATAACTGAATCATCCCAAAAGCACAACATAGTACTGCCATCTATAATTTATCAAACAATACATGGATGAAACTAATGAAGCGAAAAATTGCTGAAAGAAAGCTGACAGAGATCGAGGTCAAAAGAAAAGCCGATTCTAAAAAAATAAGTTGTTAAACTAAATGAATATGGAAATGCAGACTCAAAAAGTACACAGATTAATTGCAAAAGGGTTTTTTTAACTTTCAAGTAAGAAAAAGCAGAGAATCACGGCACGAAATCTCCAAGATCCAAGGGAGGATCTACATACAGTCCAGGGGGGGCCACGGTCCCCCCAAATTTTGGGAAAAAAAATTAGGGTGCTCTATTCCTCAAGCCCCCTCAAAATTAGGGTGCATTAGTAGATTGACCTTATGATGAAATGACTTCGTTCGATTTTGTATTTATCTTACATCTAATGAGTGAGATTATGAGGATCACAGATTTTCTTTGCCAGACTTTACAAAGGAAGTCTCAAGACATTTCGAATGCAATGGAGCTTGTGTCATCTACAAAAAGATTACTACAAGAGTTAGGGGGTGACAAGTGGGATAATTTGCTTGAAAAAGTGAAGTCTTTTTGTGTGGCTCGTAACATTAATATTCCTGATTTTAGTGCTCAGTATGTTGATAGACGACGTCGAGCTCGTGGTCATCAAGACATCACCATTGGGCATCATTATCGAGTAGACTTTTTTTATGTCGTGATCGATTCACAAATGCAAGAAATTAATGTGCGTTTTAGTGAAGATGCGACAGAATTGCTCATGCTTAGTTCTGCCTTAAATCCTCAAAATGCATCTGAGGCTTTGAGAATACAAGATATATGCAAATTGGTTGGCAAGTTTTATGCACAAGATTTTACAAGTGAAGAAAAAGAGAGTTTGAAGATGCAACTGAAACATTATGAGCATAATGTAGTCAAAGGGTCAGACTTCAAAACTCTTTCAACCATTTCTGAGTTGGGTCAATGGTTGGTAAAGACTAATAAATCTGCTACATACGACCTCATTTTTAGAGTGATCGTACTTGTGCTTACTCTTCCAGTTTCTACTGCTACTGCAGAACGATCATTCTCAGCTATGAATATCGTCAAGACTAGGCTTCGAAGCAAAATGGAGGATGCTTTCCTCTCCGACGCATTAATGGTATTTATTGAAAGAGAAATTGCTAAAATTCTGAGCATTGATGCTATCATTGAAGACTTTGAAAATTTTAAGGAACATTGAATTCCTTTTAGTTAGAGAAATTTTAGTTATAAAAAAATAGATGATGCTTATTTGACTATTTTCTATATAATATTTGTCTTCCTCTTTTGAAATATTTTGGAGATATTGATGTTGGCTATTCTACTCGTTTTATTTGGGTTGTGGTATATCTCTTGTGAATAAAATTACATTAAAAAAAAAATTTATCCATCTTTTGTACGCGGCCCCCCCAGAACTAAAATCCTGGATCCGCTCCTGCCAAGATCTATAGAGATCGAGGGAAGTGGGCGTCGTCACGGGGAGGGACGAGGGCGTCGTCAGAGAGGGAGGAGGGCGTCGTCAGAGAGGGAGGAGGGCGTCAGAGAGGGAGGAGCGCAGGTCGTCGGAGAGGGAAGAGGGCGTCGAGGGAGGAGGGCGTCAGAGAGGGAGGAGCGCAGGTCGTCGGAGAGGGAAGTGGGCGTCGTCGCCGGGAGGGAGGAGGGCGTTGTGGAGAGAAGAGGGCGTCGGAGAGAGAGGAGCGCAGGTCCTCGGAGAGGGAAGAGAGGGTCGTCGCGGGGAAGGAGGAGGGCGTCGTTGCGGGGAAGGAGGACGGCGTCAGTGGGGAGGGAGGAGCTGAGATGGTGAAAACCTAGGTCGCTATAAGGACAAATTTTTAAAATAAACCCGTTCAGAAACTTATTTGTAAACAACGACCTACTTCGAAAATATTTGCCAAATTTGACCAAGCCAGTTCGAATTTGGCGAAAAAACATTCAAATCTTCTCGTCTCGTGAAGTTTTAAGCCCCCATTACTTTGTTAATTAAGTTAGTAATGAGAGCTTAAACTTTAAGTCCCGTGAAGTTTTGAATGTTTTTTCGCCAAATTCGACCTAATTTCAACCAGTTGGCTAAAACTGAGTCGAATTTGGCAAATATTTTTGAAATAGGTCGTTTGTTTGCAAATAAGTTTCTAAAGAGGTCTAAAACAAAAATTTGTCCGTCCCTTTAACATGTCTATTTATATATGGGGTAGAAGTTGTAACAAAAATTTTGATGGGTAACATTTGCAACAAGTTTAATTAATAGGATTAACATATAAAAAGTTATCGAATAGTCCCTTCTAAGCAGTTTAATTAAAAAGTATAAAAACTTTAATTAAAAAGTTTAATAAAAAGTTATCGAAAAGTTATTGAACAAGTATAAAAAGTTTAATTAAAAAGTTTAATTTTGATGGGTCGCTTATTGACACTATTTCTGCTTTCAAAGACGTGCGTTTACAAGCAACCTGAGTTTATATATCATATGTATCTTTTTATCTTTTAACAATGGTCATTAAGCATTATTCTATCAAATACCTTAGCACTACCTTTTAAACAGTTTTAATATTCCATTACAATATATATGCCGTTTTTATAAGCAACTTAACAACATCCCTCCACCAATACCAAACTAGGTAAACAAAATTTAGGGGGTTACGTGCAACAACCATAAAGTTCGGGGCGGGGGTGGGGGGGTTCTGTGAATCAGAATTACCCCAAAAACTTCTTCAAAAATATCCTAGTACGAACATTCTTCTTTCCCTAATATCATCATGTTGATTTTTGTTTTCGGAAAATGATCTAAAAAGTTTTTACAGTTTAACCTCAACCAATTTAATCATTTTGCACCAAGCCTTGTGAATTCCTACAGAAAGTCTACGCAGATGCTGAGCTCATACCTCAACTCAGCGCCTTTGTTTCTGGTTAACCAACAACAAGAATGAAGTAGAAACTGTATTAGCATACCTTCTTTGATTCTAAACATAGCCTTCAACTTCTGGTACCCGAGATGTTACACATTCTCAGATCCCAACTGCATACAAATCTAACAGGAATATATCACAAGAAAAAACGATAACATTATTGTCCAGTGCTACTGGCTAAAACTAAAAGCAAGAAACAAGCAAAATAAACACATGTATATCATCATCCAAACCCATAATTTATTTTTGGAGCCGATACATCAAGATCAAATGGTATCTCAACCCGCTCCTTCACAAGGCATCGCGGCTGCCCCTCTTCCATCACCAGAACTTTTCCTGGAGGACACTCAACAGGACTCCGCCTCTTTAATACCTCTTGGATCTTGAATTGAGCACTGTCTTTTCTAATTGTCGGCTTGAAACCAGCCAGACTCAAAACCGAAACAACACCAACAAATGTCAGCACAGACTTCGCAAGCAACCCAAGTACATGCCTTACACCTTGAGGCTTCTTTTTCTGCCTCTCTTCTGATACATCTATGCTCTTCTTCCCATTCTTAGTGAGATTACTATACTTTGAAGAAGGATAGAGGTTGTCCATAACAAACAAGTCGGGGAGGTGGCTTGGGTATGGAGGGAGGAGGAGGTCATCATCATTATAATCCAGGGTCCCGCCAGCAAATGTCAAGGCTTCTTGAATAACCTCCAAGTTGTCACCTTTGTATTCTGTAAGTTTGCCAAGCAGCATCTTGCGGCTACGGTCAATTTGGAAAAGAGATGATTCTCTCTCGTATCTTTGCTGCTGTTGCAAGGCCTGAAATTTTACAGTAAAAGAGTAGATAAGTTAGGTGCTCAATGATAAGTACACATATTAGATATTTGCTGCTGTTGCGAGGCCTGAAATTTTACAGTAAAAGAGTAGATAAGTTAGGTGCTCAATGATATAAGTACACATATTAGCCATAACATTTCATTTCCTTGGGTGCAGCCAAATTTATTATTTCATAGATCATAACTACCTAAAGATCAGCAGAGCAACTAATTCCACAGACCTCATCTACTTGCAGATAACCTTGGAGGCTTGGACCATGGACAATGGAAAAGATATGTAATCTTTGTTGGCTTGAGGAAAACATTAGAAGAGGAATAGATGGGAAGAAAAGAAAAAAAAAACTCTTTCCTGGGACGTGTACAATGGTTTATTGATTTTTAAAACTGTTCACAAGATGCAGGAAAAGATACGACACGGTCTATGCCTTTCATCAGGAAAGTGGGCACACACCAATATTGTTTTTGTTCAATTTAATATGTTTGACATGTCAAAAGTAGAGCTAGTTGGATTCATAGATAAACATTGAGTATAAATAACAGAACAGTATTGCATATAATATTTTTAATTGAGTTTGCAGACATATTTTTAATGCCAGTTAACAAACAATAATTCAAAGCGTAGAGTTCAAGGGTGAAGTTAATAAAGACCACACGACAACAACAACACATTGGTGAGGTGAAGAGTACAATAGGCCATCAAAACAAACAAACAATGTGCAGAAAACAATATTACATAACAAAATGTTTATTAAGGCAGAAGCAAGGAGGTATGAACCAATCCTATCTGTCAAGGAAGGAGGCATTATTGACTATAGTACTTTGGTATATTAAGTATATTATTGGATATAAGGCTAAGGCACTATTTTAGAAAATCATAACCAAAGAAGGATATTACATGTAACTACTCATGTTTCAGATATACATAGAAGTCATGTTAACCATAGATCCGTAGTATATTAAACATATTGGATATAAAACACTTATGTCGGAAATCATAACTAAAGAATTATATCACAGTAACAATTGTAGCTTTTTAGTATACTAACATGTTGGATATAAAGCACCTTTCTAGGGAATCATAACTAAAGAAGGATATCACATGTTACGATTCCTGTTCAGATATACATATATGGCACAAATAAGATGTAACTGTAGTTCTTTGGTATGTTAAACATGTTGGATCATAACTGGAGAAGGATGCTGTATGTAAAAATTCCTGTTCCAGATATATATAGATGTCATAATGCCTGATAACTACAAATATTTGTTGTAGTTAATATCATTATTATTTTGGGGAGTTTTGGGTTGGGTTTTGTTTTGTTTTGTTTTGTTTTGTTTTGTTTTTTTTTTTTTTGCTTCTTCTTCTTCTTCTTTTTTTTTAGACTAGAGTACCCCATGTTCCAATAGAGAGGTGTTAACAAAAAAAACTTGAAAGAGTAGCGGAGTACACAACTTAAATAAATAAAGATGAGGGACACACGGGTCGATGAAGAATACAAGAGGTTAAAAAGGAAAAAAAACAAAAAAAAAATACCAAAGCAGTGTTTTAAGAAAAAGAAATTAGGGAAGAGGAAGTTGAAGCAGATGCATCTAGAATGACTGATAGCTAGTCGTGGTGAATAAAGCAGGTGAATTAAATACCATGACATGATTGGATGAACCCAACAATTTGAAGCAAAACTGCAGAATTCAACAGTCAATATATGAAGGTATCAATAAGAAAGTTTTCACAAGAATCGCACAAGTAGATCTTAAACTGTCTTTAGAAGCATGCTCAAGTATAAACACAATAAAAAAATTTAAACTGTCTTTAGCAGCATACTTAAAAAATTTTGTAACTAAGATTTGGATAAATGTTAAAAGATCATACATCCGAAACTAACACATCAGTTCACTCATATTTGAGGAGTCTGATGCTGCGTAAAGAGAAATTACAGATTATAACTAGCTAAGGAGTTTGGCTCTTCACAGTAATTCCTTTTTGAACATGAATGATGAGACATTCTTGAGTTTACCTTGTGCTATATACATTGACCAAGAAAGTTGCCGGACAGTGCTATATACATTGACCAAGAAAGTTGCCGGACAGCCATGATTATTCAAGATCATTAATGTACTCAAATTGGCAACTTAAATTTTCCATCTTTTACTCTCATTAAAAAAAATTATTGTGTACCCCTATTGTTTTCTTTTATAGGTATAATAAGGTTTGTTTCAATTTTCAAATGCCCAGGATATGCATTTTTCAGCTTCCAAGGGATGGATTTCCAAGAACTTTCTCCCCTCAACTCATTGATAGCTTTCTCAGATTAAATTCAAATTATTAACTCCTCTGTTGGTTGCAAAAGCCAGTGAGCAAAGATGGACTAGGCTTATCCACTTGGACCTAAACTGATTGGAAAGTAATATTCCTTAACTAACCAATGACTCTAAGCATTTTAACCATATATCCAATTGTCCTTCCAACGTGAACTAAACTCCAGCACATGTTCTCACAAGGCCAAACCCAAATTGAATTTAATGGATGCAAGATACTTCAAGCAAATCTCCATCTTGGCTCAAGTCTAGTTAGGTCCAACTCAAGCCCACTACAGTGACTTAATGGCTTAACGAGAAAGTGTCATAGTTTAACGCTTCATAGATCAACATAGTTGAACTGAACGACAAGTGTGATAGCAGAATGTGCGTTCATGAAAACCCTAACCCGTGTGGTACTAAGTTATATTCTTGCCACATGTAACTTCCTACCTTGAGCCCTAAATCATTCTAATAGAGTTCGAAGAAAACAGAGCATCCAAAGGCTCATCAAACGATGCACGCTGATGGCAAAGGCTTAAAATAGCTAGGATTCCCTATTAAAACACCTACTGCTCTCTAGAATAATCCCATAAGTTTGCTATTTACAGGAGAGCACAAAAGTACTCTATCTCTAGAATACTCAAAACTCTTCATGAGTCCAGGTTAGCACCTCACGGCTATGTTAGATTTAAGCTCGTGTCAACTAGCTCATGTGTGCAAGTAAGTGCTGATGTAGCAGTCCATGATAATAGCATTGAGGTAATATTTAAACTTTTCATCAACAAAGTGATAAGTATTGTTGGTTTTGAATATTCAAAAGCCTGAGAATGACAACAATTGCTAATCAAAGACAACGATTGCTAATCAAAAGTTTCAGTGATGTCCTCTCCAATTTGCATGTTGAACATGGAAACAGCTGCACAAGCACGTAGTTATAGAGAGGAATTAATTAGAGACACTAATTTCAACTGAAAAAAAAGAAGCTTGCTTTGGCAAATATGTGATTATCAGAGTGTTATTTTTCACTTGAATACCCCAAAGTTTCACCTTTCTCTAACTTTGATACCATGAAGCTTTATTTTGACAATTTGATATCCAAGGAGCGTAAAAAAGTTGAATTTCAATTTTTCTCAAGGATATCAACATCGGAAAGTGAAGGAGAAACAATATTCCTTACCAAGTTTCAGTTTTCTGAATTTTGGGGAAGGGATGAAACCTAGGGCTTTGGTGTACCAAGTTTCTCAAAATCAACGTCAAGTTGAAAACTACGGGGCATCAACTTGTCAAAACAGAAGTTCAGGTATCAAAGTTAAGAAAGGGCTTCAAAATTTTAGGGTATCAAAGTGCAAAATAAGCACAAACTTGCAGAAAGAAGTAGGAACTGAAGGCCACATAATTAGCAAAATACCCGAAACCGAAAAGGAAGGATTAGAACAGACCTGCAATGAGGCGAGCTGCTGCTCGAGGGATTCCAAGGCATCTCGAATGTTCACAAGACTCCCTTCTTCTTCTTCCTCCTCCTCCTCATCTTCGTCTTCATCATCTTCCTCTTCTTCATTTGGTCCTCCCCTTCGTCGACGGTGGATGATGCAGTCGGCGAACTTGGACTTGAGCTCCGATGCTCTCGCCATCACCATCCCTATCCCCTCTTCCTCCATCTTTTTCCAGCGGAACCCCTCCCTTTTCTCCAATCCCTGCGCCAAATCAAATCAATGGAAACCGGTTCAACTTCGATTGCCCACAGCCTCATAAAACACACTGGCACCTGAATCAGATAATCAAAGCGTCGAGATCGGACGGTTCCTGATGCTCCATTGGATACCCTCAGTTGCTTTATTAGGTACATTTACAAGACACCCCCCTTTAAAGTTTAGGCAATTCTGAGACAGCCCCTCTGAACTTTGAATATGTCACTTAACGACGCTAAAGTTTGGAGTGCTTCAGAAAACAGCCAAAAGGTTTCGTTTTTTCTTTAGGGGCTGCTTGGTTGGTTTCCTAAAAATCAAGAAAAGGAAAAGGGTACATGGAAATTAATAAAATATTATTTTCATCCATTTCCATCCCTAAAACTCACTACAACATCCAATAAAATATTATTTTCATCCCACAACTCATCTCATATCATCTCCTAAAAATAAACCAAACACAAGAAATGGGTCACATCATCCAACTCGTCTCATCTCCATCTCATCTCATCTTTAAAAATCACACACATCATCTAATAATATGGTGACAACTCATCTCATCCACTGTTTTAAATATCGGCCGATAATCAATGTTATCGGCCGAGTTATCGGATTTCGGAGCCCTCCGCTAGGATAAATTGTATTTTTAATCGGATATCGTTTTTGTAGATTTATCGGCGTTATCGGCACTTATCGACCTATTAGTAAGGCTTTTTTATCGGGATTATCGGCCCATTTTGACTAACATTATTTTTTTTTAAGGCTATGATGCAAGTTTCGCTTTCTACAATTGGTTAGTGATTCTGAACATGATGATTTACATTTTGGTATATTTATATTTCATTAAACATGATTAGATTATATTTTTTAATTGTTATATTTGTTAGATATAGGTGCCCTGCAGGCAATTATTGTATATTGTAACAGGACCTATATGTATATAACATTCTTGTTCAAAATGATAGTATGCTATTTTGGTCAGATTTATCTGATGTTCTAAATATACAGATAATGTCCTTAGAATAAATACTAGACTTATCAGACATTTCGGATAGTGATCGTAATGAAGAGATCTGATTAGTCGGTAACGTATATTCTAAAATGTTCCTAGTTGATGAAGTGTTGAGATAGGATATCATCACTTTGGTTAAGACTAGTGTATGCTCTATTTTTCCTTTTGAAGGAGATGATCAATCTCTTAGATCATTGATGTGAGACATCAAGATACAGTATACAGGTGACTCATTAGTGAATGAGTTGACTGAACGACTCGCCGAGAACATCTAGTTGGTAATATACTTAACTGTCAAATAGAAGTTCTCAAGTGATATAGTACATAGTAGTCTCTTGACCTGAGGCATGAGTGCAATATCTTATATGTCAGTAAAAATATATTTAGACTTTTACCTAACCACAGTTCTTATTGAATTGTGCATAACGGTTCTTGTTGGGTACATCCCGAGACATAAGTAGATATTGAGATGCCAAGAAGGGATTCGTCTCTCCTAGTATAGGGGTTGATGTCATAAGATTGTTTGATATAACTATAGTCTGGAAATCCTTGGCCGAGATAAATAAGATAAACTGAGTGTCAGTTTGATCTTATAGGTTATGAGTTTAATATCTACAAACACTAATTGAGCAAATAGGGTTTGACAGTTTTCCATACCCTAGGCTTAATAATTTGACATGGTTTGACGAAGAGACCGGACCGTACAACATTATCACTGAGTGGTCTTGATAAAATTGTGTAAGCATCTTGCAGATATTTATCACAACTTATACCGGGTAGTCTTCATGTGTAGCTAGCACCTCTGTTGTACTTGTGGATATGATCCACTGCCGAGTTCTTAGTGTAGCTAGCACCTCTGTTGTACTTGTGGATATGATCCACTGCCGAGTTCTTAAGTTGGGCCCTAGAGTCACACCAAGCGCGTACTTGAATCCTATGAAACACAATTTATAGAGTGATGCGTATGATTGATACGCATATATGATTTTACCGGATACACATAAACGGTTATGTATATCGATAAAATCGGAATGCTATGTGCTTAGGAAATGAATTCTAGTATTTTTCCTATAAAGTTAACTTTTAGTCAACTAGTTGATTTTTTGGTCAACAGTTGACTTTTGGTCAACTCATTGACTTTTTGGTCATATGATGACTTATTAATCAATGATTGGAAAATTACAAAATATCGTATTTATGAAATACAATATTGATTTGGTATTCTCATTTATGAAATACACATACCATGTATAATGAGTCATGAGATGAGTCATTTAGTGGTATGGTTTGAGCACATGGTTTATTAGCACATGGTTTTGAAATGTAATGATTCATAAGATGATTCATTGCATGACTCACTAGATTAATCATTGATATTTGATGATTCATTGCATGACTCATAGGATGAGTCATTCATTTCATGAACATATTTCACTCTATAAATATGAGCTCTCTTTCTTATGGAAAGACTAATGAAAAATTGTCTAAATGGTTTTTTCCATAAGAGAATAAAAGAGAGCTCTCCTCTTACTAAACTTTAGCAATCTTTGAGCAAGAGGAAGTAGTAGGATTTGAAGAACCCGGGGGTGGATATCTTGCCTTGTGTCTCAAGAAGACTCCCATTTTATCAAGCCCACTTGAAGACTTGGAGATCCACTACGAGGAGATTTTCAACTACAAGGAGCAAGAGCTAGGGGTTAGTCGATCTTCCATCGAATCACACTTCGAAAATATGACTTTCTAACTCTTGAATGCTCTCTTTAATGTAGGGATTATGTTAGATTTAATTAGGATGGTCCTATTATGTATTTCATGCTCTCTACATGCATAGCATAATTATACATATAGTCTTCCGTTGCGTATTTTGCATGTATGAAGCATGGATTCCCTTCATGGTATCAGAGCCATGGTTCCATCTAATTAAATCTTAACATGCATATCTAACTCATAGAGGACTTTGTTCTTGCTTCTAATTACTAGTTTAATTAAAAGATGTTTTAATGAAACTAGTTAATTTATTCAAGTTGTTTTGTAATAAATTATACTAGTTGTTGATTCAAAAATGTGATTTTTGGTTCATATGTTTTTAGGAGTAAAAACACTTGTATAAATTGCAAAACATTTATTTACAACTAGTGTAGTTGTATGTTAGAAGCATGATAGTCCTATTTGAGTTAGGATAATCCTTATGTTATCTAGTTTTCCAATTTGTTGCATAACTAGATAGATGCATATTTCTTAATGTTGATTAAGTTATATGTTTTATATCATCTTGCGTGGATGTTATGTTTATGGATGGTAGTGGACAACGATTCTCTTGCATTTATTGTATTGATGTAATATAGCTAGAAATGTAATATTATTTTTTACCTCTTCCCTCCCCGAGCATGGGCTACGCCTACGGGTTTTGGCACTTGCTCACCGATCATGGGCTACGCCTACGGGTATAGGCCCTTATTCGGGTGTGGGGGGGGTGTGGTTATTTAGTTTAGTTATTTCATTTATGGCTTTTATTTTACATTCAATGCAATATTATTACCCATCCTACGAGATGGTTTTTCCATTATAAATAGGGCTTGCACGTCCTATGTATATGTAAATGTAATAATACAGGATTTGCAAGGGAGCTAGCAATGTAAGAAGTTGCAAATTGCTTGCTAAAATGTAATTAGTGTAGTTGCATTTTATTCCCTTAGTTGTCCACTACCATTCCATATTACTTTTACATATGTTGATATGTTGGTTGTGCCCCAATTGTAGATGTCAATACAATTGGGTGCTATATTCTACAAAGTTTATATATCTATCTCATTAGAGAATAGTTTTTATTATAAAAAAACTCATTTTTAAACTTTGTGAGACATGGTAATAAGAGTTTATTGACCATAGAGTGGTGAGATCGACATTAACATAGTGTTAGTGTGAAAGATAAATAAACCTAAAGCAGTTAAAAGAGATGTATTTAGAACGAACTTTTAACTAGTGTCTAGGAAAGTGATTATGAGATATAACTCATGGGGTGATGCCCAACTTAAGATAAGGGGTGATGCCCAATCTTTCGCGTTATAGTCTTAAAGAGCGGTGGTTACTTAATTAAGGTCCGATGAATATTCCCGGTGAATAGCTCGGAACCCTCCCACTAATCTTGCACTTTCCTGGCTAGTTTAATTATTGCAAGTATAAATATAGAGGATCTTTTAACTATATCAAGTTTGATTACGGTAAAAGATTTATGAAATCGTCCGTTTCAGTTGAATACTACTAAGCTTATAAATACTTTGTTTGTTGGCTATCGTCAAGGCAATACTATTCTTTGGCTAAGTAGTATTCATCTGTATATAAGATATAAGGATAGCTTAAATTGGTTATGCGACTTTGTTGGCTTTCGTCAAGAGTTTGCATAAGTTAAATTTGAGCCAGTCAAGAAATGATGGGTCCAAACTTGACTAGTTTTTATGATTTATCGTCAAGGTCATAAAAGACTAGGGGTAAAATCATATCAAGAATTACAAGAGTGTAAAAGACAAAAGTTGTCTACCAATTATTGAGTGTATCAATTTGTTGGCTTTCGTTAAGGTTGATACATTCAATGATAATTGGATCTTGATCCCACTTGAAAACAAGGGGTTGTTTTCCGATCACCTCTTATAAGGTTTTGAGGGACTTGAAAAATAGTGAGAGGCATAACTTAGATAAAAATAAACCAAATCTATTTTATGTATTGAACATCTGCTAAAATAATTTTTTCTCTCTCTTTCAGGCCATTATGTCTGGCTTAAAAAACATATCACAACAGAACAAGTTAATTGATCCTAATTTCATAGACTGGTTGAGAAATGTTAAAGGAAACTACTCAGAATTCTTAGCCTCACTCACCAAGAATAAGCAAGTTGTTGCTTCATCTACAGGTGTGTTTGTTACTCAGAATTGTTTTGTATAAATCATACATCCTGGGTATTAGATACCGGATCAGGATCTCACATCTGTAATTTGTTACAGGGACTTAAAAGTTATAGAAAACTTGGAGCTGGAGAGATGACCATGCAAGTTGGTAA